GGGGGGGGCTGATCTGGTCCCTGCTCAGGAAAATGGAGGCAAAGAAGTCGTTAAATATGTTGATCCTGGGAGATTCCCAGCCTAGCGCGCCTCCCCCTCCAGGCCACGGCCCAGCCCAGGGGATCCCCAGCCGCCCACGGCCTGGGGCCTGGAAAAGCCCGAGCCCCACTTCCCCCCATCCCAGCCTCGCTGCACGTGGCTGGGTGTGCCAGGCCTCCCATGGCGCTGTTGCACCCCCAGGCACCAGCCGCACACAGCAGCCCCTGCTCCCCCCACGCCACAACCACCCCCGGCAGCCAGCCCGGCCCCCGCCCCTGCAAGCACAGGTCCCACACCGGTCCGAGCAAATGGGCTTTATTGAGCCATGGGCGCTGCGCCACCTCCATCGGGTGACGGGGCAGATGCAGCCCCGAGCCGGACCCCAGGCTGCTGTCGCTGAGGCCAGGCCCAGCCAGGCTGGCCCGTGGGGCTGAACCAGGGGGTCCCTGGCTGCAGGCTCCACGCCCGGGTCACCGGGACTGCAGGCCGAGGCGGGGGTGGTGCTCGCGGGGCCGTGTGCCGCGGCGGGGACGGCACAGCTGTGCCGGGGCCCCCCCATTGCCCTGCAGCGCATGGCAGCGCCAAGCCTCAGCCACGCTCTCCATCTGCCGGGCAAAGGATGGGGCTTAGCCATGGGGGGGTGCCCGGGGCCCACGAGCTCAGGGGAGCCCCCCCATGTGCCTCCCCTGGCCCCCAGCATGGCTCAGGAGGGCATCAGGGCACCCCCCGGGGGAGCCAGGCCTGAGGCCACAGTGATGGGCACAGAGGGATGGCGCCTGCCCGGGAAGCGTAGCTGGACACGGGGACGGATGGGGCAGGGGTCTCACCGGCAGCAGAGGGTCCCGCTGGTTCTGGCTCTCCAGCGCGGCCAGCTCGCCAGGGGCCAGCAGGGGCAGGCGCAGCTCCCGGGTCGGCCCATCCGCCACGGCTGCCACGGGGCACCCGAACACCGCCTGCTGGGAGCAAGGGCCGGGGGCTCAGAGCCGGGGGGCTGAGTCCTCCCCAGCAACGGAAGCACAGTGGGACGCGGGGGGTCAGAGCAGGGGGGTCCTCCCCAGCTCTGGGCGGGGAGTGCAGGCCGAGCGGCTTGGCGCAGGGTGGTGCTGCGGGGCACCGGCCCCCCCAGGTCAATCCTGTAGGCGTGAGCCTGGCCCCCGAGGTCGCCCCGCACTCACGGCGCTGACGCGGGCCCAGCCCCTCACGGCGGCGATGAGGTCGGTCTCATCGATGGTCAGACGGTCGCTGCGGAGCACCGGGACCAGCGCCGCCTCCGACAGCTCATGGAAGCCTCGCGTGCCCACCACGGCCTGCGGCGCCCACCGCCACGTCAGGGTGCCATGGGCCCGGGCCCCAGCCACGCTGAGAGCAGCCCCGGCCTCACCTGCCGCAGCCCCCTCGGCGTGCCCCGCGGAGCAGCCCCAGCGCCTACCTGGGTGTTGTCCTCGATGAAGGCCAAGCAGCGCTGCTGCAGATCCGCCTGCCCGCAGGTCACCCCCGCCTGCCGGGGGGGGCACAGTACAGTGGAAGTGGGGGCTGCAGCCCCCCCAGCCCTGCCGGTGCCCTTCACTCCCGACCCGCAGCCCCCCCCAAAGCCCTGCTGTGGGAAGCTGGTGGGATCAAGACCCCTCCCTCCCCACAGGCCGGCAGCTGGGGACCCCTGGCAGCCTGTGCCCGGCTGGGGGGGGCCGGGGGCACTCACCTGCAGGGCCTCGCAGGCCGTCTCCACGCTGAGCGTGCCCATCACAAACTCCACGCACAGCTGCGGGCACACATGGGCCACGCTGGGGGTTGCAGCCGGCAGGCACCTTCCCCCCCCCCGCCAGGCAAGGATGGGGGGGCACGGGGATGCCCTGGCACTGAAAGGGTTACAGCACAGGCCAGGGGGAGCCCAGGCGGGAAACACCCACCTCCCCGGGCCCCGCGCCAGGCCCAGAATAGCTGCGGGTGACGCATCTGGCACTGGGGTGGGGTTCCCCTGACACCAGGTCTCACCCCCGCAGTCACATGGCCCCGGTGACTGTTGCTAGGGAAGCCCACACACATGTCACCGCAGGGGGGGGCTGCGGGTTGGGAGGGGGGGCACCGGCAGCTAGCGTCACTGCCTTGGGCACTTGCCACGTGGCCTGGGCCCCATACTGCTGCCCAGGAAGGGAGATCCCCTTTCCAGGTGGGCGCAGGGCCCTGGTGTCACCATAGCCTTGGTAGGGAAACTGAGGCTGCCTCTGGGACTGAGCCCTGTGTCCCCACGTCCACATGGGCCCCCCCCGCGTGATGCCTACCCCCACCCAAGGAGGCTCCCCATGTGCTGGGCGCGCGTCAGGAAGTGACTGGGCCACGTCGGCATGACTCAGAGTCGAGCCGCGCGTGGGACCCAGGTGTCCTGGCAGCCGGCCCACGGCTCCGGGAGCCGGCGCTGAGCTCCCCGCAGCCCTGCATCCCCCAGGCAGTGCTAGAGCGGGTCAGCGGTGTGAGAGGGGAAACTGAGGCAGGGCAATGGGGGCTCGGAGGGGAGCTGGGGCTGGCAGCCAGGCGTGGCGGTATCCCCCCTTCCAGATGGAGACAGCCTAACCCTAACCCTAACCCTCCCCCAGTGTCCCATCGTGCTTTGCACTTGGCAGGCCGTGCCAGCCCCCGTGGCCCCGTTACCTGCCGCAGGTCGTCCAGCCCGTACTCCACGGACGAGGCCAGCACCTCCAGGGCCTGCGGGCAGAGACACCCCGTGACCCCCATGCAAGGGCCTGTGCCTGCAACCTCCAGCTCCCGGAGCCATCCCGGGCTCCCTGCCCCAGGCGGTGAGAGTGCAACCCCCTCCGCACCACAGGAAGGGCACCGCTGCCCCCCGCCCACCGCAGCCCCGTCCTGGAGACTCCCGCAGCTCCCCAGGGGCTTTCCCGGAAAAGCCCCGTCTGCCCAGAGCCGGGCGCCCAGGGCTGCCCCTGCCCGGGCCATCTGCATAGCCGAGCCCCCCCATCCCAAGGTGCTAGAGCCAGGCATGGGGGTCCTGCCAGCTGGCTGGCAGCAGCAGTAGGTTATTATCCCCCTCCCCGGCAAACAGGCTGGATTGTGCCCCGTGCCCGGCGCCGCGGCACTCACGGTGACGCTGGTGAGGTGCACACGGTTGGTGTACAGGAACTCAAGCACGGCCAGGAAGGCTTCGGGCTGGGCGCTGCTGAGGGCAATGGGGGCCGATGGGGGGCTGTCCAGGAGCCCCCGGAGCCCGGGGCAGCGGCAGGCGAGGATGCAGCGGTGGGCGAACACCTCGCGCCTCTCCCGGCCCACGAGGAAGGTCACGTCACTGCGGGGACATGGTGAGAGCCCCCTGCACCGTGGCGCAGAGGATCCCGAAGCCACAGGGCTGGCAGGGAGCTGCGGGGACCCCTGCCCGACGCAGGGTCGGCCCCAGACAAACCCTGTGTCCAAGCACTGAGCAACATGACGCAGCCCCAGGCATCGCCCCAGCCCCCCAGGCCCCTCCCTGGGCTCGCAGACTAGCCGAGGGGCTTTGGGAGCCAGCAAGCTCCGCGCTGGGTACGCCGAGGGGCCTGCAACCTGGGACTTGCGATGCCTGGGGTGGCTGTGCACATAGAGCCCTCGGCCCCGCATGCAGCCACCTCTGGGGTGCACCTGTGGCAGCCGCCTCTGGGGTGGGAACTGGGGGGTACTGGGCACTGGTGCGG